TTTTGTGAAGAATCAACAACAAGTGGGACACAATCATGAAGAGGAATAAATTCATTGGATGTGTCAAACTTTTTTAACAAATAAAAAACTGAAAAGTGGGGCGTGCAATATTATTGGGCCCCCTTGCGTTAATACTGTGTAGCTCCGCCTCTTGCTGCAGTTCCAGCTGCAGTTCCAGCTGCAAGTCTCTTGGGGTTTGTCTCCGTCAGTTTTGAACATGGAGACACTGAAGTTCTGCCCATTCTTCCTGCAGAACAGCTGGAGCTCTGTGAGGTTGGATGGAGAGCGTTTGTGAACAGCAGTCTTCAGCTCTTTCCACAGATTCTCGATTGGATTCAGGTCTGGACTTTGACTTGGCCATTCCAACACCTGGATACGTTTATTTGTGAACCATTCCATTGTAGATGTGTCTTTATGTTTTGGATCATTGTCTTGTTGGAAGATAAATCTCCGTCCCAGTCTCAGGTCTCTTGCAGACTCAAACTGGTTTTCTTCCAGAATGGTCCTGTATTTGGCTCCATCCATCTTCCCATCAATTCTGACCATCTTCCCTGTCCCTGCTGATGAAAAGCAGGCCCAAACCATGATGCTGCCACCACCATGTTTGACAGTGGGGATGGTGTGTTCAGGGTGATGAGCTGTGTTGCTTTTACTCCAAACATATCGTTTTGCATTGTGTCCAAACAGTTGGATTTTGGTTTCATGTGACCAGAGCACCTTCTTCCACATGTTTGGTGTCTCCCAGGTGCTTGTGACATGATGCTCTCTGTGCTTTGAACAGAACCCTGAGACTCTCACAGAGCAGGTGCATTTATACGGAGACTTGATTACACACAGGTGGATTCTATTTATCATCATCAGTCATTTGGGACAACACTGGATCATTCATAGATCCTCACTGAACTTCTGGACTGAGTTTGCTGCTCTGAAAGTAAAGAGGCCCAATAATATTGCACGCCCCACTTTTCAGTTTTTATTTGTTAAAAAAGTTTGACACATCCAATAAATTTCATTCCTCTTCATGATTGTGTCCCACTTGTTGTTGATTCTTCACAAAAATTAAAATGTTATATCTTTATGTTTGAAGCCTGAAATGTGGCAAAAGGTTGAAAAGTTCAAGGGGGCCCAATACTTTCACAAGGCACTGTATAAAATATATAATTCATAAGTAATGATCTTATTGCATGTATATACACTGCTCACAAAATTAAAGGGAACACTAAAATAACATCCTAGACCTCAATTAATTAAATATTCTCATTGACAAACTTTATTATCAGCACAGTGGAATTGACTGAGAAGAAAATAACAAAAATGATCAAAGTAAATGTAAATTATGACACCATGGAGATCTGGATCTGGATTCATTCTCAATATGAAAGTGGAAAACAACAGGACAGGCTGATTCAACGTCAGTGAATCTTCCTCAAGTCTAAATGAGGCTCAGTGTGTGTGTGGTCTCCACGTGTCTGTAGAACCTCCCAACAACACCTGGGCGTGCTCCTGATGAGACGGTGGATGTTCTCCTGAGGGATCTCTTCCCAGACCTGGATCAGAGCTTCAGTTAGCTCCTGAACAGTCTGTGGTGCCATGTGGCCTTGATGGATTGACCAAAACATGATGTCCCAGATGTGCTCAACTGGATTCAGGTCTGGGATTCAGGTCTGGGGAACGGGCAGGCCAGTCCATAACATCAATGCCCTCATCATGCAGGACCTACTGACACACTTCAGCCACACGAGGCCTAGCATTGTCATGCATAAGAAGGAACCCAGGGTCCACTACACCAGCATATGGTCTCACAATGGGTCTGAGGATCTCATCCCGGTACCTTATGGCAGTCAGGGCACCTCTGGTAGCACATGGAGGGCTGTGCGGTCATCCAAAGAAATGCCTCCCCACACCATGACTGACCCATCACCAAACCGGCCATGCTGGAGGATGTTGCAGGTTCTCCACGGTGTCTCCAGACTCTGTCACGTCTGTCACATGTGCTCAGTGTGAACCTGCTTTCATCCGTGAAGAGCACAGGGCGCCAGTGGCGAATCTGCCGATTTTGGTGTTCCCTATCAAACGCCAGTCGTCCTGCACGGTGTTGGGCTGTAAGCACAGGCCCTATATGTGGACGTCGGGCCTCATACCATCCTCATGGAGTCTGTTTCTGACAGGTTGAGTGGAAACGTGCACATTAGTGGCCTGCTGGAGGTCATTCTGTAGGGCCCTGGCAGTGGACCTCCTGTTCCTCCTTGCACAAAGGACGAGGTAGTGGTCCTGCTGCTGGGTTGTAGTCCTCCTACGACCTCCTCCATGTCTCCTGGTGTACTGGTCTGTCTCCTGGTATCTATTCCATGCTCTGGACACTGTGCTGAGAGACACAGCAGATCTTCTTGCCACCGCTCACATTGATGCTCCATGTTGGATTAGCTGCACTACTTGAACCACTTCAGTGGGCTGTAAAAAACTCCTCATGATGCCTCCATGTGTGACAGAACTGACAAATGAAAAAGAGGCTAAAAGTTCAACCAGAAAGGACAGAACAGAGAAATGACCTGTGCTCACCACCTGCAGAATCACTCTTTTACAGGGGTTCTCTTGAGAATTGCCTCTCATTCCACCTGTTGTGCGATTTTTTTTTCACATCAGCAGATGAAACTGACTCACAATAAGTGTTACTACCTAACTGGTGACATTGAGTCCACAAAGGTGTGACTGATTTAGAGTTACATTGTTTTGTTTAGGTGTTCCCTTTATTTTTTGAGCAGAGTATATAAACTCCAGTGCTGTATGTAAAAACCTTTATATGTGGTTTCTGAGTTGTCTGTTATTGACCGACGTCAGATCATTATTTATGAACTGTATATTTTATATATCATGGAGCTGTTTTACATGATCCTTGAATGAAATGATCAATTCTATTCATTTATTGTAAACAATGATAATTTGTGCCACAGATCCAGTTGGGCTGGCTGTTCATGTCTTTGGACACCATCTTTGTTCCTACATGATGTCACAGATGGAGGCAGTGGGTGGGACAGGAAGTGGACCTCTAGTTGTCTGACTGAACTCCATAGTTCTGACAGATCCAGACTCTGACGTTGGGACAAAGCTTAACTCACTTGGCCGACAGGATCTTCTGGTCCACGTCATCCAGAGAAGAGCTGTGGGCCACATGGAAGGTCCCCAGGAAAGAACTCCTCTTCTTCTTGATCTTCTCCGCCTGAAACACCATCATCATCATCATCACCATCATCATCGTCACAACCACCAACATCATAATCACAATTATCATCATCATCATCATTGTCATTAGAATCAGAATAAACTTTATTATCATTGCACCGAGATACAACGAGAACATGTACGTACAGTCGTCCGAAGATGGGCGGAGTGCACGAAGCTGCGGCTATAAATAATCAGCGCGGCCTCTTATTCTTATTCAGAATAATATTTAGCTTAGATAAGAAAGGGAAAGAAAACATGAGGAGAGACTGTATAAAAAAAAAGATCTCTCACTCCGTGTCCTAGACAGGGCACGATTTGAGGCATCAAACAAACCTCCCACAGCAAAGCAACATAAACAGACGTTATACATGAACATATAGGCCGTGAAGACAGAGAATGTTTAAGGGAAAGTCGTAGCATAGTCCACAGCCCCCCCTCAGCCATTGTCATCATCACCATCATCATCTTAATCATCATCATCACCACCATAATCGTCACCATCATCATCATCATTATCATCATCGCCATCATCGTCACCATCACCACATCATCATCACCACATCATCAACATCATCACCATCAGCATCATCAGCAGCAGCAGCATCGTCAATACCACACCACCATCTTCATCATCACCAACATCATCCATCATGGTCACCATCATCATCACCCTCACCATCATCATCATCACCACCAGCATACAACCATTATCACCACCATCTTGATCATCACCAACATCATCATCATGGTTACCACCACCATCACCATCATCATCACAACCCATCATCTCAGTCATCATCATCGACGCCGCCGTCATCACCATCATCATTATCATCATATCACCACCATCGTCACCACCACCACCATCATCACCACATCATCATCAACATCATTACCATCAGCATCACCATCTTCATCATCATATCACCATCATTGTCACCACCACCACCATCAGCATCACCATCATCAGCAGAATCATCAATACCACACCATCATCATCACCACCACCATCATCATTGTCACCATCATCATCACCATCATCGTCGTCATTGTCGCCACCACCACCACCATCATCACCACCAAATCATCATCATCAACATCACCATTACCATCAGCATCACCACCACCACCATCACTAACACAATCATCAACACCACCATCATCGTCATCGTCATCATCGTCGTCACCACCACCACCACCATCATATCACCACCATCACCAACACAATCATCGTCTATCAGCGCCACCGTCATCATCACTATCATAGTCGTTGTCGTCATCACCATCGTCACCACCACTACAGTCGTCATAACCATCAATCATCATCATCATCATCACCACCATCATCATCATTATCATCATATCATCAACATCATTACCATCAGCATCACCATCTTCATCATCATATCACCATCATTGTCACCACCACCAGCATCACCATCATCAGCAGAATCATCAATACCACACCATCATCATCACCACCACCATCATCATTGTCACCATCATCATCACCATCATCGTCGTCATTGTCGCCACCACCACCACCATCATCACCACCAAATCATCATCATCAACATCACCATTACATCAGCATCACCACCACCACCATCACTAACACAATCATCAACACCACCATCATCGTCATCATCATCGTCGTCACCACCACCACCACCATCATATCACCACCATCACCAACACAATCATCGTCTATCAGCGCCACCGTCATCATCACTATCATAGTCGTTGTCGTCATCACCATCGTCACCACCACTACAGTCGTCATAACCATCAATCATCATCATCATCACCACCATCATCATCATCACTGTAGTTATTACCACCACCCACCGCCACTGTCGTCATCACTGCCGTGGTCGTCGTCATCATCACCACCGTTATCATTATCATCGTCACCACCATTATCGTCTTCATCATCATCATCACCACCGTCATTACCACCACCACTGTCTCCAGCGTCGTCGTCATTGTTGTCACCATCATCATCGTCATCACTGTCGTCGTCATCACCACCGTCGTAGTCTTCATCACCACCGTTATCATCATCATCACCACCGTTATGGTCTTCATCATCACCACAGTCATCACCATCATCATCATCATCATCACCATCGTCATTACCACCACCACTGTCACCACCGTTGTCATTGTTGTCACCATCATCAC